TACTAATTGTATGCAAAATCTTTCAGAAAATGCAAGAGAGAACACTTCCCTTTTTATTTTACATGCCCAGCATTATGCTAATATCAGAACCAAACAAAGATAGTCACATACACAAAAAAAGAAAACTATGTCTGTATCTACCATAAACAGAAGTACAAATGCCTGCAGCAAACTACTAGCAAAGCAAGTCCAAGAATACATGACAACCACATGAAGTTTATCCAGGGAGCTCGTGGCTGGCTCAGCATTAAAAAAACATAAGAGTCTAGGGATCTTGATAATAGAGTGCTTACTAATAACACTAATAACATGTGCAAAGCCCTGGGTTCCATCTCTAGTATTACAAACAGAAAAAGGAATCACAGCCAAATCCTTCTCAAAAACAGCAAAAATTAAATAAAAATAGCCAGGAAGTCACCATAGTAACAGACTAAAGAAGAAAAACAAATTATTACTTTATAGATTAAAAGTATAATTCTCATTGAAAAAAAAATCTCAGTAAACTGGGCAATGGTGGTGCCTTTAATCCTCGCACTTAGGAGGAAGACCCAGGTGGATCTCTGAATTTGAGGTCAGGCTGGTCTACAGAGCTAGTTCCAGGACAGCAAGGACTACATAGAGAAACCTTGACTAAAAGAAAAAATAACATAGACAGACAAACAGACAGATAGACAGACAGAAATGCTCAGCAAACATATTCAATGTGTTTAAAAGTGTTTACAAAATACCTATAGTTGAAAACAGAGAGCTGCTCAGTGTTTAAGAGCAGTTGTTGGTCATGCAGAGGGCCCAGGTTTGATTCCCAGACCCCACAAGGTGAATCACAACTGTTATAATTCAAGACCCAGGGGATCTGACTCCTTCTGGCCTTTATAAGTACTGCATTACGTGGTATATAGATATGCATGCCAGCAAAACAGCCATACACATAAAACAAAAATAAACTTTAGCTGGGCAGTAGTGGTGCATGCCTTTAGTTCCAGCACTCAGAAGGCAGAGGTAGGCAGATTTCTGTGAGTTCAAGGTCAGCCTGGTCTACAGAACAAATTTCAGGACAGCCAAGGTTAAATACAGAGAAACCCTGTCTCAAAAAACCAAAAGTAAATAAATAAAAAATAAACTAAAAGAAGACCTCTAATTGAAATATTTGAAATTAAAAAATTAAATGCTGTTATCCCTAATATTGACATGGTGAAGGATATCTTTTCTCATCATTTTTATAAAACACTGATCATACTACAAGTTCTAATTACAAGCAAGGCCATAAGTACTAATAAGTGACGAATTTCAATAAAATCAACTGACACAGAAATTTATAAATTATTATAGAAAATCAAACAACTTAGAATGGTCAAACCAACTCAGAAAAAGTAAAACAAAGATAGAGGCTGAAAATAAATTTTTATGAAGCTATGCTCATCAAAAAGTATGATAGTGGCATAGAAATGAACAAATAGTTGGTCAATAAAACTGACATTCAAAATCTGATATTTTGATTTTCAAATTTTTGAAGTCTTAGTTGGGCATGGTAGTTCATGTTTTTAATTCTAACATTCCAAAAGCAGGAGAACTGCTATGAATTTGAGGCCAATGTAGGCTACATAGTGAATTCCAAGTCAGCCTGGACTATAGTATGAGAACCTGTCTCGAATAAAAAATAAAATAAAAACTTAGTTCCACAAAAATATTGTAAAGATAATGAAAAAACAAACTACAGAGTGGTAGAAAATATTTGCATTTGCATGTCCAACAAAATATTTGTATCCAGAGGCAAAAGAAGCAGCTGCCATTTAGTGTTATATTGGCTTAGTTTATAAATTAGCATAGTCTGACATGTGCACATGTGTGTGAGTCCAGAGGTTGACATTAGGTGTCATTCTTCAATCACTTCTCTACTTTACCTTTGCCTCTCACTGAGCCTGAAACCCACCAATTCCACTAGACTGAATAGCCAGCAAGCCCCATGTTCCTCGTGTTTCCACATTCTCATTGATGGACTGATAGGTATACATCACTGTGCCCAGCTTTTACGTGGGTGCTGGGAACTTAACTCAGGTCTGACTAAGCTATCTTCTCAACCCTCTAAGTAATTTAAACATTATTTAAACCAATGAAACAGAAGTAATCTAAAAGTTCATCAATCGAAAACTTAAGTAATGATACACCTATTATAAGGAATATTATACAATGGTTTGAAAATGAAGTAAATCTATATGCACTAACTTGGAATAATATATAGACTGGTTGTAAAAAGGAAGAGAAAATTATTGGACAATCTCATTTATATGAAAAAAAAATTACAGATTTTCTAAGAAAATTTCTAGAATAATACCACAAGCTAACAGCTTTTGTGCTTAGGAACAACCCTGAGAAGGGTAGGATGTGGGAAAACTTCTATTCATTCCTACAATGTTTGAATTCTGATAAGAATATATGTCTAGATTATTTGTGAAACACAAAAAAGAAATCAGCTTTCTTCAAAAAAGGGCAATGATAAAAACTAACTTTTTGACGGCCTTGGCTCATGTAATCAAGTAAATGAAATACAATGTACTGAAAGATTTGCCTGAAAACAAACTGAGCTTCCATTTGTTAATACAAACATTGATGGCCTGCCAACACAAAGAACTGGGTTATTGTCCCAGTTGTGCTAACTAGCTTCATTACATTAGTATGCTAAATATATTGTAACTATGGAATGTGTAAGAACCTAAATCAAGTCTTTTCTGTTTCTTCTGAGCATCAAACACTGAGCCTACTTTAGAGATGAATTAAACAGCACTGCCTGACCTTGTCGAAGTGTCTCATTGTTGCCCTCTAGTGGCAAAATGAATTCCTGCATCCCTTAGTAATCGAATTTTTCAGAAACAGAAAAAAAAAGCAGTCTCTATAAAACAAAACACAACAAAACAAAAGGTTCTCAACCAGGGACTAAAAGATCAAGGTTTATGCCTAGGTTCTCTTCTGTTTTCAATCTTGTCTATCATAACATAGTCCACACATTTCTAATCTTCATTATCCACTCTTAGCACAGGGTCATTTTAACAAAAAAACAAAAAAAACAAAACAACAACAACAACAAAAAACTACATATGACAAAAGATCTACCGAAGTCTTCCCAAAATTATGAAACACTAACAAACTTTCCTAAACTATCCTGTTGAAGACAAAATACAAACCAAATTCGAGGGGGGCTGGGGAGTCACCCATAAACCTTCTTCTCCAGACTCATCATCTTTCTGAATCAACTACTGGAAAGTTTGTTCCGTTCTGAAAATATCCTTTAAATGATTCTCATTAAGGGCAGCAAGTAAAGCCACTCAGGGAGCAGCACTGCAAGCCTCACCTGCGCATGTAGAGTAGAGGAACATGTTTTTGCCTCCTGCCTCCTCTATATCAGTGCATCTTCAAAATAGCTGAAAACTTAGGGAAGCAGCTTGATGGTGCAAAGGATGGGGAACTTTGGGCTTAGGAATTTGTGGAATCAAAAAAAAAATGATGCAGGGCCAGGCATGGTGACACACAACTATAATTCCAGCACCTGGAGGCAGAGACAGGCAGACCTCTGAGTTCGAGGTCAATCTGGTCTACACAGTGAATTCCAGGACAGACAGAACTATGTAGAGAGACCCTGTCTCCAAGTGGGGGGGCATACTGTTATTATTCAAAGAAATGCTCATATTTCTGCATCTATTATGGCTACATACTAAACAGAACAACATTCTTTGATTCAGCAGTACAGACAACAAAAACATTTCCAAAGACTCCTAAAAGTAAGATACTATGTAACACAGAAATGGAGGGGAGGGGAAGTACTGGGCAGTTTGAAATTCAGGAAGCGCTTTTGTTACAAATTCTAGAAGTATCCATGTATTATTGCACTGTTCTTATAATCCCACCCATGAACTTCTACATGATATGTGCTCTTCAATATGGAAACAGAAGTACTGGTGAATATGGACAAAATAGGGACACCAGTTGGAAAGCTATAAACGCAAGTACCAGGTAGAATCGCATTTGGGGTGGGATGCCTCAGCAGAGTACAAACCATGGCAGGGTAGTTACCACCAGCACACTTTGGTTTCACAGAGAAATTAGGAATTATGAAGGACAGGGATCCATCAATGTGCTTCCAGCAGCCCCCTCAATAAAGGGGCAAGAAAGCCTAATATCTGTTTATATGCATTTCCCTGGGGACTAAAGTGGTTCTTGCTTTGCTAATGGCTAAAGACAAATCAGTAGCAATTAGATCTTTAAGCAGAATATTTTTAAAGATCTTATCCTGAGAACTCTAAATATAATGAACTTTTGAGTTGTGGGCAGCTTAAAGATGGTCATATAATGTGTAGAATGATGTGCTTTTCCAAGTGTCCCTTATTTCATAATAGCAAATGTCAATGGTTCCTGTTGTACTAAAAAAGCATAGTGTCATCATAAAGAATATGCTGAGAAGGGACATGATGAGAAAAGAGTTACACTGTATGGTAGGCTCCCAACAGGAGTGTTCTATGATAGCTACAATGACAGTACTCATTACAGTTCAAGAGGAATGCAGCAGCTTCACTAAAGTATCCCACACAGGTATCCCCTTACTGTCCACTTCCCTGTCCCTCTCTCTATTCTCCTCACTGTGAAATGGAACTCCAGTCAGACACAGGGCACCCTTTAGAGATGTCTCTGTGGCTGTTCCAGAATACAAACAGGCGTTGGGAGTTTTAGTCCCAATCCACCTCCCTCCACAGCTGACTGTGGCAGCATAGAGTGATTGAACACAGCGGGCAAGAGGTACCAGGCCAGCCTGCTGCAGGGTGCTGCAGCAACACAGCTCGACGTACGATTTCACTTTCCGTCGTCCACCGGCCTCGCCTGCAGCTAGGGCGCTGAGAACAGTTACGTTTGGCGCGCCTAAAACCAGGGACTCCCCAGGACCATGCACGGCCACCCCACGGGCATAGAACCGAGGACACGAAAGCCAGGGGTGAGTCGGCGCCTCTACTCACATAGCGCTGCAGCTTCCTCTCGGGGGGCGACTTGACGAGCCAACCCGTGCACACGGCGTCGCCCTTGCTCATCGTGGCCGCCAATGTCGATACTGCGGCTTCCTCCAGCTGGGCTGGCCGCCTGCGGCAGGAGGAAGTCTAGCTAGGGATGCCCCGGGGCGGGCCCGCAAGCATAGCGCCGCCCCAAGGCCCGCGCGACGCCCCCACCTCCGGCCCCCCGGACTTGAGGAAGGGATGGCAGACAGGCGCTGTTCTAGAGCCTAGACGACCCGGGGCAAAAAAAAAAAAAAAAAAAAAAAAAAACCAAGCAGCAAAGTTAAGAAAGCCCCTTCGAGCAATAGTTGTGCGACAAGAGCCTCTGCCTCTGGAGACGCCAAACAGGACGACCTGCAGCTCTCACCCGAGTGCCTAGAGTGCTATCTTCATAGCCATAGTAAAGGAAGGAAGAAGCCAACTTACGAGAAAAGCTTTAAGTGACCCAGAGGTAGCATCACAACGAAGCTGTTGCCTTCATCCACCCCTGAACACTCATGCCGACAAGGGTTGGTCTGCTGACCTCAGGGGTTCAAGAACAAAAACCTATGACCCACATCTGTCATACATATAGTTCAGAGAGGAACTCCTCTTCCATTTTCCTGTCCCACTTGATTGCTTGCAGAGTACTGTGATTTTTCTGCCCCTTTTCCAAAGATTATTGTCTTTAGTGATGAGCTGCGTGGGCAGAACTGTTTAAACATTCTAATGAATGCAAGTGATCCAAATTCAACAATAGTACTATCTGCACCCTCTCTGATTCTGGGGCTTTAAAGAATGAATCAAGGACTGATTGAGTCAAGTTGTGAACTATGTACATACTCTAAAAACAAAACAAAACAAAAAACCCTAATAGAAGAGGGAGGAGGAGAGGGAGTGGGGGGAGTGGGAGGGTGTTGGGAGGAGGGGCAGAAATGGAAACTTTTATAATTTAATAAAATTACTTTCTAAAAAAAAACCCTAATATTTATTGTGTTCGTAGTACCATATGTTGGCCATTGTCATAAGTGCTTCACAGCACCTACACAAACACCCTATAAAATATATTGTCAATTTTGACCATGCATAAGATGAGAAAAATAATAGTATTGTCCCCTGTATATAGCAATACCCAGGAAGTCACCCATAGCAGTTAGAGTTAGTTGTCTGTCTCAAGACTTGTCTGTCTCATCCCTCTAAACACCACCCACTCTTTGTGAACACACTTTAAAAACTGGAAAGCACCACAATAAAGTTAGAATTAGCATCCAACAGACCATCCATGTGATGTTTGCTGGCATCTGGTCAGCTTTCTAATCTGCAGTGTTCTTTTCCCCTGGTGTGATGTTTCTTACTTGGAAATGACACTTAGAAGAAATAAAAAATTTACGAAACAATTACCACACCACATTCACAATGTCTAGGGAGAGATGACCATCTGTATGGTATGATTCATTGTCATTGACCAGGGAAAAAAAAGAATTCATTTGAGGTGTTTCAAGTGGGGAGGGATTAAAATCACAAAGGTAGTACTTAGCAAACTCATTGGCAGTACAGCATCAATGAAATCAAGGAGTGCCACTGGTCAGGGCTTCAAGGCACATCCAGAGTACAAAGCAGAGGCTGAGAGTTTCTGTCACAAAGCTGGATTCCAGTTGCTGCCAACTCATGTCTCAGACCCTATTTCACTCTATCATTGCAACCATCTGCCTCCTCTCAGAGTTTCAAGTCTCACATTAGCCTATATAGTTAGCCAAACCCAATGTGCATGGAGAAATAAACAAAAGAAATATAGATAATATCTTTATTTAGCTTTCTTACCTCTCCAAATACAGAGGGGAAATCTAAATTGAAACTCCTCTTGCAACTTAATACATATGCATACTCATTGTACACAGAATAAAAAATTACAGCCAGGTGGTGGTGGCACACACCTTTAATCCCAGCACTTGGGAGGCAGAGGCAGGCAGATCTCTGTGAGTTTGAGGCCACCATTGTGAGTTCCAGGACAACCAGGACGGTTACACAGAGAAACCCTGTCTCAAAAAACAAGCAAACAAACAAAACAACAACAACAAAAACTATACAAACAACACATTCACACAAAGCAATGCCATTATCTTTTCTACAAACTAAGAAAGTACCACTAAAAGAACTCAATGGTTCCATTGTATTGTACAATTACTCAATCTAGCCATGTCTGCGGGATAGTTATTCTTCTCCTAGTTCGGGTACCATCCCACATCAATAACCTACAAGCTAAAGATAAATATATAAAACTAAGATTTATGAACTTTTTTACTTGACATGCACAAAATATAGATAAAAGGAAGACAGGAAAAGTTGAGGAGAGGGAGAACACAAAAACAATATTCTGTGATTTCTCTGAAGGGCATGGTCGACCAGTAGTTAGAATTAACCAGACCAGCTCAAAAACAAGGAATATAATTTTATTTTATTTTTGTTAATTATTTATTTATTTATTATGTATACAATATTCTGTCTGTGTGTATGCCTGCAGGCCAGCAGAGGGCATCAAATCTCATTTCAGATGGTTGTGAGCCACCATGTGGTTGCTGGAAATTGAACTCAGAACCTTTGGAAGAGCAGGCAGTGCTCTTAACCGCTGAGCCATCTCTCCAGCCCAAGGAATATAATTTTAATAATTTGGATAAAGAGAGACTCACACGACTGAGGCCCAGCGAGAGTCACATGCAGCATGAAAGAGACAAAACAAGGGGCGGGCACCCAATCCCCAGGTGCTTCTTCCTTTGTCCCAGGCGGCCACACCCTAGCCAAATGTGATTGCCTGAGCTTCCCCATCATTGTTCATGAGACTAATTGGTATGTCTAATTTATTTCCTCTATTTGCTTTCTAGCTAGGACATCAACTGATAAAAATTCTTTGTCTAGTTCAATGATTCTCAACTTTCCTAATGCAATGACTCTTTAATACAGTTCCTCATGTTGTAGTGACCCACACACACACAATCATAAAATTATTCCCATTGCTGCTTCATAACTGCAATTTGGCTACTGTTATGAATCATAATGCAAATAACTATTGGTGTGGGAGAATTGTCTGTATTCTGTCAATCGTATTTTAATAAAACGCTGATTGGCCAGGCAGGCAGTATAGGCGGGAAAGCCAGACAGGAAGTAGGGGTGGAGCAAAGAGACTGGGAGTATTCTGGAAGCAGAAGCTCTCCTGCCATTCCTGTGCAGACCCCCGAAGAGACAGCATGTAACTTGCCCAGCTGAGAAAGGTACGGAGCCATGTGCTAACATAGATAAGGATAATGGGGTAACATAAGTTATAAGAGTTAACAAGAAGCCTGACCAAATGGGCCAATCAGTTTATAATCTTATGGAGGCCTGTGTGTGATTTCTCTTTGGGACTTGCCGGCTTGTTGGGGTACTGGGCGGGACAGAAACCCCAACAAGCCAGCCGTCATGTTACAAACTATGTTTTCTGATGGTCTTAGGTGACCCCTGTGAAAGTGTTGTTCAACCCCCAAAGGGGTCAGGAGCTGCAGGCTGAGAACAGCTGGCCTAGTAGGTGAACAAAACCTTTTTTTTTCCGGTGAAGTCTAGAATCCCAGTGATCTTGCCTGAATATCTCACTGTCAGGAAATGCTCTGAGGATCCTGTGGATTCAAAAACATAGTCCCTCTGGTCTTCTTGTTTAAATACAACCCTTGATAAATTTCCACTTGATAATCACATAATTCATACTATAATTCATACATAATCACATAATTCATAGCTAGAATCTATGGTTGCAAAGTTTCCTGGCATAAAGAATGTCAAATGGCCAGGTGACAGTCTCAGTTTTCAATATGTCAAAACCAATGTCTCATCCTTGGAGAAGCATTTCTCCCATTGGGACCAAGACTTTATAACCAGAAGAACTCAAAGTTCCTGTTATGGAAAGAAACACTTGAAAGTGGATTGTTATGTGTTATCATAAAAGGAGCTACTGCAGATTGCAGTTCTTAATTCCAGACACTTATCAATCCTGACCTTGGGGAAGTAATGTTGTATAGAGGTCACTAATTGAAAATATTATGATGATTTCCTTGGTGAGAAGTGCTGTTACTTGAAGTACTGCAAATGCAAATATAGAGATAATCCGGTAAGTGTAAGAGCCAGAAGAAATGTGACTTTGAAAATAAATTCATGAAAAAATAAGTGTCTATTAAACTGAAAACAAATTACTGCCCTTCCAGTGGATATAGTCCAATTTCTGCTACCAGGTGTCTGGTTGGCCCCTCCAGAGAATTCAACTACATTTGGGGAACTCATTGTTGGTCTTGGTTGAGGGAACATTAAACAATGAACATTGATTATGAACCTACCAACTGTTTCTTGTTTTAGGGGTCTCATTTATGGATGATTCTCAACCTTGTTCACACCTTTATAAGAAAGAGCAGTCTAACCGAAAGGGAGGGAATTCAAATAGCAAATAGATTTTTGTAGTGATATTTCATTTGTATTTTAATAAATAAAGCTTGCCTGAAGTTCAGAGAGTAAAACAGCCACACTGATCAGCCTTACAGACCAGGCAGTGGTGACACACACCTTTAATCCCATTAGCCAAACTAGATTGTCATAGAAACTAGGTGGTAGCGGCACATGCCTTTATTCTCTTCATAAAATGGAAGGAGACACCTCTCACACATAGTATCATTCTGAGGTTTCCTTGAGGTAGGATCACCACTTCAGGCTGAGGTAGAAGTAAGAACCAGTGACTGGCCGTTTTGCTTTTCTGACCTTCAGATTGAACCCCAATTTCTGTCTCTGGGTTTTTATTAATCGTGCTACAATTTTTGGAAACTGAATTCACTTTTACAGTTTATTTAAAATAGGTCTAGAGAAACTGGGTAGGGTAGCATTGTGTTTATCCCAGGTTTAGTTTTATAGTTCATTTAGTAATTTAAATCCTATAACTAGAAGGAATCATAGAAATGAGTGATTGCTATTACAGAAGAGTTTCTTTGTCAATTATGTCAAGAAGATCATAAGAATGGCTCAGTGGTTAAGAGTATATACTCTTCTTACAGATGACCTTAGTTCAGTTCCTAGCACCCACAATCAT